TACAAGATACATGGGGAGGGGTGGGGGGCGGGGGGGGGCAAAGGGAAGGTTGGCAAAGATCTGGGTTCAGGGAATCCTGGGGCAGAAGACCATTCTTTACCAAATTAAATGATGTTGGTCACCTTGTAGAGCTTAGTGTTGTATAGTGACGGTATATTGCAAACACATTTCAACAATGTATTGTCTCCAAAAATTAACACGTCTTTGTTCCTACAGACCCTCAATTTCAATAAGACTCTGAATTAGTATGAAGTGGATGTATCTAAGACATGTGTAACCCCCTGGATAGGTGAATGTTTCCCCAAGAACAATGAGCGGGGAACTATCAGAGAAGCTGTTCCCAGCATCAAGACCTGTTGTGTAACTCAGCTGTTGACAAAAGCAGCATGGCTCCGAAATCTGATCCTTCCCTCTTCTCTATAGATGAGTGTTGAGCTTCACTGGCACGTTAACATCCAACAAGTTGGAAATCCACTGTATGCAATTAAGCATGCCGCTGATGGGCGGGGGAAATCATTATCACCCCCCCTAGAACTGGGAAATTATTTGGGTTTTTTTTTGTTCTTTGTGAAGCATGGGGAAAAAAATTTGTCTTGAATATATATTTTGATGGAAACCATAATTTGGATTGTAATTCCAATTCCAACTTGGTGCAAACCAAGATGAACAGCAAACAAGTGGTTGGCGCCATCAAAAGAAGTTATTCCAATCAACCTAAACAAAAATGGATCCATTTGTGGCCAGTGTTTCCGGAAACTATACCCAACTGAAGCTGAAGCTTTCTGGTGCCTACTAACAACGGTTACAGCAGGATCATTCGTTAAGATCTATAATGAGCATTTGAGGCTGACGGATATTTCAACGAAGGCGTTTGAGACTTGTTTAATGCTAAGTAAATGCCTGCTGAATCTGAGGCTAAAGGATCAGTCCACCCAAATGTGATATTTTAGGCAGAACTACAAAGGATCTACATCAGCCCCTGGCTTCTTATATGTCTTGGATACTCCAATAGGGACATCTTCCTACTGTTAAGCCTGGCTGTTCTTATCCAGATGAAGGATATGGGTGATTCCACAGCTCCTTCTTTTACGTTCTCCATAATATAATATATATACATACTGTGTTTCCCCGAAAGTAAGACCTACCCCGAAAGTAAGACCTAGCGCTATCTTCAGGGATTTCTGTAATATAAGACCTACCCCGAAAATAAGACCTAGTTCGGTGGTAGGTCTTATATTACAGAGATCCGCTAGGTCTTACTTTCGGGGTAGCTGCACATAAACTGAATTTTAAGTGTAAAGACCGGCCGCAGCTCCCGGCCCGCCCACACGCC